TATAGAAACCCTATGCAGGGCATTATAGCCCACAGTAACATAAACAGCACTGGCCATTCTGGCATCTAAACCATTTTTTAGTCTTTTGTGATAGATTGATGGATTCCATTATAAACCAGAAGCTGTTCATAATGTATTTACACCTTTTTCAAGATCTTCTGAGCTTGAAGTATGGCCTCACGAGTCACATAGAAGATAAGTTACTCCTCTGAAGTAACAATAGGCACTGGCATCTTATTGTCATTTGGCTGTTAACAAGGTTCCTGCTTGCAAATACTGGTCAATACGCGATCTCCTCACCTTGAGATAATGCACCTTCCCATACACACCATGTTGGTCATCTGCCTCTTTGGTCAACCAAGGCCAGTAGAGTGACTGGGAAGCAGCCTTTATCATTAGCATGTTTCATTCTCCTTGAAGTGGGCAAATTCAGAAAATATGAATTCCATCACTGGTCCCATACATGGACAAGAAAAACTCCTCCATGGGGCTAAACCCATGGGTTTGTTCTAGCAGTAGTCAGAAGCAAGGAGTTTGCAGACTTGCAAGTGTGTTCACTGGATACAATGGCAGGCTAAAAGCACCTAGGGACAAGGAATTAGGAACAATAGATAAGTTCTCCCACAATACACCATGAATAGATCCCAGGAGAGACTCCCTGAAAGATAACCAAAAATCCTTAAACTCAGTGCAGTGCCAGGTGGGCATGGTTAGGCACATACGGTAGTACAAGGTAGATAATCACAGGTGGGTTTAGCTTCGGACTTGGGCACAGGTACACCCTGTAAAGTGAACGTTCCCTAAATGTTTATCTAAGATGTTTCAGTCTCCAAGCTTCTTGATAGAAAAAACTTTGTATGTGGATGTAATAATGTAATGTTGCTTATACAAGGGCTTGGCAACCTGCAGTCTGCAGGCTGGATCAGCCGTATGTAGTAGCTGGGGCCCCTTCTCTGCCTTGTGCTGCTCATCCCCTCTGTAACTGAGTCCTAGTTCTCCCTGCTCTATGTCTCCATAGAGTCCTTTGTACTAAATTCACCACTCCCCATAGCTGGGGGCCGTAGGAATTGTCTGCTCCTTTTTACCTCTTAGAGGCAGTTTTGATTCAGAGCATTTAGTTTGTGTGCAAGACTCATTTTAATTAACTGAGGAAAAGCTTATAAAACCCAGCCAAACTGGCTTAATGAAAAATATACATGGAGAAGTATGAATCACCTTTTTGTTGTCTGTGTCACAAAGTACACTGCAAATTCTTATAATCAGTCCTGTACTTGTCTGGTGGTATCTTTTTCACTGTAACATCTTATACCTGCAGATTAATGTTTGCATAAAAGGAGGAGGTAAAATATGCTTTGCTGGGTGTCAGCAAACTGATTCTTTATCATATTAAAATTAACTTCTGGACAATATTTTTATTTTATCTTACCTTAGAACCTAGGCATCTAGCTTACTAGCATTACAATTCAGCTGGAAAAAATTGTGTTATAGTTTCTAGTTTGAATGAGCAAAAATGTAAATACTATAAGGACTGGTAAATTAAGCTATGGTTTATAGAATTCTATAAGGTATTTTAGATATATATTACAGCAGAACAATATACAATGCTCCAGATAAGCAGCTCCAATAATTGAACATTTGCTTCTATATAGAATTGCTGCATTAATTAGATGACTTGGTTTTGTTATTTTTCATAATCTGCTGCTTTCCAAAACTTCAAGATTTTTAAAATAAGGCTGAGGAGGAGCTGAGGGAGAGAACATAAGATGTGGTATTCAGAACTATTCAGAGTTTGCTAGTTCAGAAACCTGATGCTGAGTGGAAAACTGCTGCTCCTAAAGAATGGTAAAATCCACATTCTCGGCCTGCTGAATAAAATGTGTGATTGTAAACTATCTTTCCTACTGCTGCCTTCTCATGTCCTTGTGACAAGGTAGTTAGCAGAATTTGCAGATTCCTTAGAATCGAACAGGGCCATGCCATAAGCATTTCCAGTTTGGCTTCAAACTTGCAACCCCTGGGCTGTCAACTGCGTGCCTTGGTGCCCATGCTACCCTAGCCCCCATCTGTCATATAATGGGAAATAAAGATAATACGCTTTTTTTTTTCTTTCAAGTAAAATAAAACATTTTTCCTCTTTTTTGCTTTGCCACATTAAGGATGCATGAGATACTGGAGCCTCAGAATATTGATCTAAGCCTGCCCCTTAAAGGTTCTTGTTACCCATTTGGAGACAGGCAGCATCTAAAGAACTAAATAATTATATATTTTATGTACAATCCGATTATGATTACTAGTAGATTTTGTAGTATTTTTTTCTTTCTTGACATGGTTTGCAATATTTACTGCATTTATACGTTAAATTAACAATTTTCATATTCATGATGATTTGGGGAATGTTTCTATGTATAGCAATGTTCTGAGGTCAGGCTGCAAAAGCCTTTTTTGAGGGTGAGGCACCTGTTGCCTTTTGTAAACACCACACTACAAGGAAACCGAGTGATGTGCCAGCAGGGGAGGGTTATTAAATATTAACAGTCTTTTGTTCAAATGGAAATATCCCTGGAGACAGAAAATAACCATAATAAGAAAACTAGGTACCAATCTGAAAATTAAGCAATGCATCACCTAGATTAGTCTGAGCATGGTGTCACCTCAAAAAAAAAAAGGGAATGGAAGTTATAAAAAGGAGTCCTTTTTACCAGCCATTTTAGAGATGCAGGAGCAGAAGGAAGCTAGCTGTAGGAGACAGAAGCTTTATTAAGTGGGGATTTTGGGTGTGTGTGTGTGTGTGTGTGTATATATATATGTGTATGTGTGTGTGTGTGTGTGTGTGTGTGTGTGTGTGTGTATATATATATACACACACACACACATATACACACCTTAACTGACTCTGATTTCATCCCAAATAAAATTCAGAAAATGGATGGAGGAAAATGCTGTTTTATTGTTTTGTCTAGTTCCATGTATTTTTATACTTTATGAAATAAAGAATAATTGTCTACAAAATTTTTCCACAACTTGTGTTATTTTGCTTTAAAATCATAAGGCATTAAAAAAGTAAATTTCAAACAAGTTACCTATAAGGATGGAGTTCTGTCTCTTAAGGGATCTGAAGTGCTCTTGATCTTGCTAAGGAAGATCCCACTTCTGTGTACCAGTAGTCCACTGTCTTTGCACAGAAAGTGTGTCCCAGAGATCAAAGAAAGAAACAGGCCAGGATGCTTCCCACACCAGAGGGAAGATAAAAGCATATGGATCCAAAATGTTGCAAGTGAATATCTACCTTGGGGACCTTGGCCAGAAGAATGACAGAATTACATTCTTAGCTGTATACAGTGAGATTCCTCTGCCATAAATGAAAAGAGAAATTTAATATTTTTCTTTGGTCCTTTTTAGTCTTTGCATGACATTATTTTGCTGTGCCAGGCATTGGGTAATATTCTAAGAGTTGAAGAAATGTCTCCATTAAATATTACCCTTTCTGGCAATCTGAATGGATTCTGTAATTTAGCATTCACAAATATTCCCAAGCAAAGATACAACATGTTCTATAACCAGATGCTAATCTAACATTTTTGCCATGTCAAATGAAGTATTGCAGATAAATTATTCTCTCAAACATGTTCACTCTGCTCTTTTTTCAACAGTCCATGCCAATAAGTTCTGATTTTGCACAACTGAGTTGTGCTGGGAGTAGGGCATTGCCCCTGGCTAAGTATTTACACATGAAGACAGACAGAAGGAGATAAAGTCTTTAGTACCCTAAGGAGGGTTTCCAGCTACACACCAAACATTCAACTACTTCCTTTAAATAATGTAAGCAAGCTCTAACTTGATATGTAAATATAGGCACTAATAGGCTTTTCCACCTAGTAACCATGACAAAATAGCTCTGGTTTTGCTTATGAAATGAAAGATCCCAGTTAAGCGTGTAATCAGTTTAGTTAATACTATCCCACAATGCTTAAAATGTAAGGAGAATAAGTTTAGTAATTTATATCTTCCAACCTGAAATAAAAATACACTTTCATAGTTTTTAAGAGAGTGTTAGGTTATCTAGTCTGATCTTCTCTACAGTGGAAGCTACGAATTTCACCCAGTTAATCATGCATTGAGCCAAATAACTTGTGTTAACTAAAATATATCTTCCAGAAAGGCATTCAGCCTTGATTCGAAGACTTCAAAAGATGGTGAAGCCACTACTTCCCTGGGTAGATTGTTCCATTGGGTAATCACCACCACCCATCCCCTTCCTCCATTAAAAAAAAAAAAAAAGCCTTCTGTCTAATATGAATTTTTCTGACTTTCACTTTCCACCATTCTTCCTGCTATGCTTTTCTTTACTAAAGAATACCTGGGTAACACTGTATTTTTGCCATGAAGGTACTGTACTTAACTACCATACTATTATTACCTTTATATCTTCATTTGTTTAGTTAACCATGCTTGAACTCTCTAGGTCTTTCATTGTGAGACATGTTTCCAGGCCCCAAATTACATTTATAGCCCTTTTGTATCCAAATGTTTTGTCTATAAAGATTATTAGTGTAAAATGTTATAAAATATTTTAATCATAAATGTCTCTTCCAAACCTGTGAATTGTAATAACATACTATCAGCTCTACCTTCAGCCAAAGACAATGTTTTTGTTTCTTCTTGTTACCTACCTCTTACTTTCTTACCTCTTGTTACCTTCTTATTATAACTATTTTTGCTTTGTTTGCCATGTGAGACTTAGCTATCTAACTTGTCCTCAGCATCATTATCAACATTGTCAGTATGGCCACATGTATCTTATGGTCCTGTAACATGCATACTAATCAATGTGATTTATATTTGGTTCTTTGTGAGTTTTTTAAGACTCCTGTTCTTCAGCAGCTTAAATGTGTCTCTGGCCTGGCAGTGTTCAGTGTTATGTGAAATGACAGCATATCAAGAAAGTATTGTATAGTTTTTCACCAGGCCATCTAATGTCATGTGCTTGTTTATCTTTCCAGAGTACCAAGCTGCCATTTTGCACTTAAAGAGAGAACACAAGGAAGAAATTGAAAACTTAAAGGTACATCTTTTTGTGATCTAATTTGTTTAAAAATTGTTTCTTTATTTTTTTCTTTCCTTAACTTCTGTGCAAGTTGTGAGTTTAAATAATGCAACATTTCAAGGATGCTAAAACTCTGGCCCATGGGCAAAATGTGGCCCATGAAGCCATAGGTATCCAGCCTGCAGGGCTCCCCATGGATCAGGAAATTTGGCAGCAGGAGAGTGGTGGCAGGAAATATGCCACCCTCCCATGCTGCCAAATTCCCAAACCCCGAATCCTATGCAACAGGTTGGGACCAAGTCATGCACCCTCCTACTACCCCCATGGCTAAATGAGGTTCACACCCCTCTGCCTGGCCTGGATGGGGCTGGGTCGTGTCTCCTTTCCCCCATGGGGCTGAGTTGGGGCTGGCTCAAGTCTGCTTCCCCCCCACTGAGGGGCTGGCTCAAGCCCCCTTCCCCCTGTGGTGTTGAGTTAGGGATGGGCCACACCCCCTTACTGCTACAAGGCTGGGCCATGGCCCCCTTCTTCCCCCCCACCATGGGGCCAGGTTGGAGCCATGATGCCCCCTGCCCCACTCTGTGTGGCTAAATGGGATTCTGCCATGACTTCCCCAGGACCATCAGCTCATCCAGCCCACTGGTCAAAATGTTTCAGCGCCTCTGGAATGTGTGATATATGTTCTTATTTTAGGAATATTTTTATTTTCTGTCAGAAAGTTAGTGGCAATTGCCTGGCAGCTCAAGTAAGGTTAATATAGTTAAAATCCCTAGGTGTAGTCACAAATGGCTTATAAAGGGCTTTTACAATCTTACTGTAATCTTGGTGTTTGTGTTAGTCATGTATTAGTCATGTAATACACATTACAAAGTACTCCCTCTGACTCAGCAGCTCATTTAAAATATTAAATCTCTAAAGTCTACCTCAGTGATTTTCAACTGAAAAATTTAAGGAGTAGCAGTTTTCTCCTGAAGTGGAGTTGTTCTCTTAAAAAAAAGCCATTCAGATTTCATCTGTGAGAGAACTCTACTAATTATATTAGCTCCACAGTGCTAGAAGTAAAAAGTAGAAAAGGCATTTTTTTTCCCACAAGAGCAAGTTATGGTTGAAAATGTATCATTGGAGCAAATCTGTGGAGGAAGAAGATGGTGCCATTTTTAAACACTTTTCTACCCAGTCCCTTTATTGCACTCCACAACTGTAATGGACTCCACGGTACTTGCTCTATTTCCACAGTTCATCTATACTGTGGTTATAGTAAATTCATCAATCACTGAATACAAACGCATACAATGTTTCCATTGAATATTAAGAGAAATTGAATGGAAAAAAGCAGAAAGTATGCCTGGGAACATGAAAGGTAACATATTTGCAAAAGCTTTACAAGTAGGGTTTGTTTTCTCATGTCCTATACTATACATCATTGTGTTGTTTCTTCTGGCGCACATTCTCTCAGTGCTTTTGTTCAGGTTGAGGGCTCTATTCCCACCCAACCCTCTCTAATTAGTCCAGGATCCCATCCTCTATCACTCACACATTAAATTTTCAAACAAGCACCTTTGTGCTTCCTCACAAGCTGCTCTTCACCCTTATGAAGAACTCTCTTTAAAACCCACAAAGCCACCTCATTCTTTTCTCTTAGATCTAACTTTAAAAATCCTCCTTTTCAATGATGGCTTCAAAATACTTAACAATTAAGCTGTCATTATGGGACTGTGTTCTATTATGCTGACCACTATCGTCTAATTGTTTACTTGCACTACTGCCAGTTTGTCAATGCATAAGTGCAGACATTTCCGAGACCCAGTCGACATTCACATGGCTTACTTTAAGCTGCATGATCAAGGATCAGGTCTCGCTTGTGCAGACATTTGCCAATGCTGGGACCCATGCCAGGAAAGCAGTCCAAGTAAGTCCAGGTGGGGAAAAGGATGACTGGATCAGGGGGAGCTAGTGGGTCTGTAGTGGGAAGAGTTGCCCATCTGGGTTTGGGAGACACTGGGGAGCTAAAAGTGACCCAGTGAAGATGAGGTTGGTTGAGGAGGGAGAGGAGAAGGTTAGGAAAAGCGCGGCCCCAGGGCTGGGGCAAGTGGCTGGCGTTTCCTAGCCCTGGGGCTATGCTCTGAACATGTACAGATGTTCAGCAGATCAGGCTAACCCATTCATGATCTTACTTAGTGCACCTCCCTAAATGTCTGTACAGATCAGGACTTAGATTGAACTAAGCCTAGTTAGATCAATCTAAGCATAGTGTCTGCACATAGCCTGTATCTTGTCTCTTGTCTCATACTTACATTGTAAGGCTAGAAATAAATGTCATGTTTGTCTCAGGAGAAACCTTTTTGTCTTGGAACCCTACATTTGTACATCTCTGTTGTCCCACTTCAAGTACCTGTGAGGTATGTGCAATAAAAACGTGTTTTGTTTGTTAAAAACGTGCAGTGTTTTCCACCCCGTTTCCCCACTTCCCCATCCTTGAGATGGCCATGTGCATCTGTAGGATTATTGCAGTTCATTTCAGGAACAGGCCAGTCAGGATGTGTGCTCTCACCAGACATCTACTGGTAGAGGATCAACAATGCAGGTTGGAATGGCTACATGTGTAACTGGCTGTATTGCTCTATTTTATCTGACAACTTATATGTAACAAATAGGCCTGTTTGTATCTGAGTCAAAACCTGGGACAATCAGGACTGCCACAAATGTTTATACCAGCAATCAAGCAATTCTATATATCTATCAAGTCTAGGGCTGTCAGAGTCAAGAAATGTCTGGCCAGGATGTAGTCTTCACTCTAAGATTCTCTCTTGTGTGTCAGACGTCAGCAGCCTGGAGGTGGGATGCTGAGGCCCTCCTCCATCCCCCCCACCTCCAGTGGGGTGGATGAGATGGGCTGGTGGTAAGCCCTCTGTCCATGGTGGACTTGAGGACCCCTCCCGGGGATGGGTACCCTCTTGGGAAGGAGGAGGACCTGGGCGGAGGATCTTTTGCTGCTCCAAAGCCTTTCTTTTCTATTCTGCTTCCCTCCTGATGACTCTTCATCCATGGCTATCACTGATTGGTTTCTCTATGTTGTCATCACACTGTCCACATCCTGTGTTGTCAGCCAAATTCCCATTTTCATAAACCTATCACATGCCCACAAGCTAATTTGGGGCTTTACCAGTATCCTAATTTGTTCTGCTCCCCTCAAACTGGAAAACTCCAGCCCACCTCTCTGGGGCCTTGCAAGCTGTTGCCACCTCATTCATATTATGGAACAGTAACAGTGTGGTACATGCCCCCACTTTCCCAGGCTGTGTGTATCCATTGGCCTTGTTGTGTTAGACAGCCTCTCTGCTTCTGAAGACTCAGAAAACTGTATGAGATCCAGGCTTTTAAAAATCAATTAACTTCTGCTGCTCATCCTGAAGCATTCTAATACATACATATATGTACACTTGGCTTGGCAGTGAAGATACTATCTCCATTATCCAAAGGGGAGAACCTAGACATCAAAGGTACCTAAGGGATTAAAAAATTCTGGATAAAGAGAAAGGGTATGAGGAGATGTGCTCTCATGGAGCACAAACTAACAAATAATGCAAGAACAGGTCCTTCAGGAGCAGAATTTGGGGGGGGGGGGGGGGGGGGGGGCGGGGGGGGGGGGGGGGGGGTTAAATTGGGCCAGAAATGATGGGCCCAATTCAAGTTAGTTCACCTGAGTAGGTGAACTAACTTAGAATGGAAACAGGTTAACCCAGTCCAGCAAATGTCTGCACAGGTTAGGAACACAGCTCTGGGTTTGGGAAAGCCCAATTGCTCCTCTAGCCCTGGGACTATGCTCTTCTTACCCACTTGACCCTGACTGGGCTATTTTAAGCCTCCCACCCTCCCCGCCCCTGGAAAAACTACTACCCCTGTGGACCAATGCCCTCCCGCTTTCCACCCCAAGTTACTCACATCAGGTTCCCCGTGCAGCTCCTGGCATTGATGAACACCTGTACATGCTGCTCCTGGTCTATTGCTTTTATTAAACAGTATTAAACCACATGATATTAAACAGGGGGCTGCAAACATTTTGCACGCAGCCATAAAGAAACCAAAAGGATCAGAGATTAAATTAATCTGTTAACTGTGATAACCTCTGTTTTTTTCATTTGCTTTCTTTAGTAATGAATATTAATTGTTAATCCTGAGGATTTTTCTTGTCTCTAATTGTGGTATCACCAAAGACCTGGCAAGAGCCCAATCTGCTTATATTAGAGAGTCACTGGCTTGAATCAGTACTAAGAGAGTGTTTAAGAGTTGGCCTATCATTTCTTGTTTCTCAAGACTACAGTTGTTTGCTCCACACTTCCTTCTCCATACCTTATAGAGCCCCTTGCTACTTCACATTTCAAGCTTTGACTTCAGAGCCTGTCACTGATCAATTGGAAGGACGTGTGCAGTGATGTGAAGTAAAAGCAGCAGTGAAAAGATATCAGTATTTTTTTCCCCTCTGACAGCCCTGGGACTGAGAGGCTAGAAAAATAGTTGTTCCTCCTCCTTCCTCCTCATATTCTTTCTCTTTTCTTTTCAATCTAGTGTGAGCTATCTTTGTACAGATGTCTGAGCACCTTCTGTATCAGAAAAACTCTCTTAAAAACTGATTGTATGTTCTTCAGACTGTCAAATGATTTGATAGGGATTCTGTGACACATGAGTGAATCAAAACTATCTGCTTTAAAAACCTGTGTATTTTCCTTTGTAAAACCCATATGTTCTTTCAACATGTCAGTATGCTGGGGCAATAGGAAACATGAAATTTCAGTTATATGGCTATATCTTGTTATAAATGTAGTCTGCTTAACCTGGCTCTTTTTTATTACCTAAATGGTGTAAAATTTGTATATAATGTAATAGTTTAATTGATGAACTAATGGATAGATGCATTTCAGAAACAGAAATAAATAAATGTCTGTCACTTTTAGCAACTATGACTCAAAGCTCTTCAAGGAACTTTGAAGAAAAATTGAAAACTAAGAAAACCTGATCAA